AGATAGATAGATAGATAGATAGATAGATAGATAGATAGATAGATAGAGATAGATAGTGTGTGTGTGTGTGTGTGTGTGTTCAAGAATTTGCTATTATTATCCAGATTTGTTTCAGAATGAGATTTTTTATCTTTATTTGAAATTAAATTGATTGGGTCAAAATAATCTACTCAGTTTGGCTCAATTCATTTAATTCTGTTTGTCGACTTTATTAGTGTGACTGAACCATTTTCTTTTTAAATAAAATATATTTTGTCAAGTTTATTAATTTCAGTCTTGTGTCTTTGGTTTAATCTGTTTTTATTCATTAAATAAGACAAATACAACAGGCTGTCCTGTCAAAATCCTTCATGTTTCGGTGAGTTCTTCGTTTATTTATTTGTCTACAAATAGCAGCACGTTCTGAACCTTCTGCATCAGATAATTGAGAAGCTGAGATGGGTAAATGTTTTGCTGTTCGACATCTTAAATCTGCCTCTCCAGCAGGTCATAATTTATTCAGTCAAGTCAGGCGCACAGAGCAGCGTGGAATTGCATTTTTATGAATAGGGCTGAAGAAACGTACACAGCAATCAAGAAAGAGTGTGGCCATATTTCAGCCTGACAGCATGAGTGTGGTGGAGCACTCTTCCAATTGCCCCCCCCCCCACACACACACACACACACATACAGCTAGACACCCATAAACCACATAGCTATAACTCTACCATTATGACAGTGCAGCAAATATACACATAAAGGAAAATCCGGACAGTGGACCAAACCCAACTTAAACATTGCATTTAATTCAAAACTCAATCCGTCACTTGATCGCTCCAAGTGTTGTATAAGAACTGACACTACAAGAAGTCTCAGCTCTGTGGTGAGCTTATGTCCCAACTGAGAGGCGTGCATCGACAGCAGTGGTGCCCAATCCTGGTTCATAGTTTGTTTCCCTGCTATTCAGCAGGTCTTCAAGGTCTGCAGAAACCTGTTGTTGACGTATCATTCAAAGTGTGAAAGCAGAGAAACAACTAAAATATGCAGGATAGTGGCCCTCGAAGGCCAGCGTTGGGCACCACTGATCTACTCAACCAATTCAAGATGGCTACAATTTATTCAAATTAATGAAGCAGAGGAGCTCCTTCAGTGGTAGACTGCTGTCCCCGTCAGATTCAGGAAGTCCTTTGTCCCTCAAGCCATCACTGTTCAGCTCCTCCCTGTACAGTAAAAATAGAGCCTTGTAAATCTGTGGTACACTGGACACTTGTCTATATTTATGTGTACATATGCATATATATAAGTACTCTATGTGTACGCTTAGACATGTATACATATAGGTTAATCATGAATGTAGTACTCCCTACCACCATGTGCATATTGTCTTTTTCCAAGTTTGTGTATAGTACACTTTTTTTTTGACAATTTAATTTGTTCCTTTTCTGTATAATTAGAACATGCTACTGGGTGCCTCAAAATTTATCCCGGGTATTAATAAAGTATCTACCTAATGAATAACTCAAAAATGGCTACAACTCAGCCAGTTTTACAGATGGAGCTAAATTTGGTGTGGTGGACTAATTTAAACATTTTATGTGTTTTATATATATATATATAAAATTCTAAATAGTAAATAGGTCATGACAATTAATCTTAGTCCATTAAACAGTTTTAAATGTTTCAACAACAAAACAAACAAAAATCAATGTCATGTTTTTTGTTTTTACATTTTGCTCCTCATTTCTCTTCTGGACCAAAAATCACAAACCCGAAGATTTAAGTTACATTGTGACTCGAACATCAACCCCCACAGGTGGAAGTGCTCCTAAAATAGATACAAATCTCTCAGCGACAAGCAGCAACCGTCTCTTGGACGGAGCTACTTGAGCAACAAAAAGATGATCCATAAAAACACTCAACCGTTGATTAAACCTAAAGGAAAACTCTTAATTTGGTCATAAACTGGCAAATCTCTGCTTTTAAAGAAATTGGGGAGGAGTTAAATGTAAAGTCAGAATCTGACTTATCTTGACATTTCATGTTAAAACAGAAACGTCAAATAGGATTTAGACTTACAAATGCACAAATATTTCTAAACATTAATCCATCAACAAAAGCAACGACTTTACACAAACTGAAAAACCTTTTATTTATAACGTCAATTACAGCAAAAGAAATTATTTACTTGAGGTCATTTGGGATTTTTGTCTTTGTTCATCCTTAATTACATAATGTTGAAGCTAAAAAACAAAGAATAAACTTTCTCATGATACTATAAATTACTTTCATATCTCATTATATCCCAATTACATGCTACAAGCTTCAAGCACCGCCTGTGGTTTTGCTCCTTCTGTAGAACTGGGCAAGATGGAGAAAACAAACAAAGCAAGGTAAAGTAAGCGCTGGAGAAAACGAACCGAAAACATCAAAATAAGCGTTTCATTGGCAGGAGAGATTCATCACATACAGTCTTACTTTATCCTCAGAGCAGGGACAGTCCATTTAGTGTGGCTTTTGAATCAAAGTCATACATGACAATTTTGCAAACGTCTACATACATCTTATTCTAAACGTTTTATGTTATGGCATTTAAAAGTTGTGTGTCTCAAACAGCTGGAAGTAAATTAGTTTAGAACATCTGTTTACAGAAAAGCTGTAAAAGTTGAGCAAATTCTTGAGCTTTGCAGACCATGGAGCAGAACAGAGGGTTTGATTACACAGACTTTACTGATCCGGCTTGACGTTTTGGCAGCTTGTTTTTAAAGTGCTATAAGAACACCGGGCTGTTTGGATGACATTATTCTCAAGACAGACATAATTTTAAGGAGATTAGGAAATAATCCCCACCATTTTTACAGCTGGGATCACCAGCTAACATCTGATAAACAAAAATGAATACATATAAAAAAAGAAACATTTTTCAGATTAAGGAATAGCTGTCCAGCTGCACATTCAACCAGAACCACGTGCGCGCACACACACACACACACACACACACACACACACACACACACACACACACACACACACACACACACACACA